AGAAGAAGAAGAAGAAGAAGAAAGAAAGAAAGAAAGAAGAAGAGAGAGAGAGAGAGAGAGAGAGGGAGAGAGAGAGGAAGAATGTATCAGTTTTGAAATAAATAAACAAGAAGATAAAATGGTGGAAAATTTTCGAGGAAAGACGGAAGCAATGAAGTACTTGAAACCAGTTGTTTTGAATTTCAATTTTTATATACTTTCTAAACTGATGCTAATCACTCATCAAATCACCATCCACTATTATTCATTAACAAATAAATAATCAAAGTATGTTAAATTGATAAAAAATGTTATCAATAATATCCCATCATATGATCATTATTCATTCATTCATTTTATTACCATAAGGAGATAATAAATAAAAAAAAAAGAAAACATCATATAAAAACAGGTATAGGTATGTATATATTTGATGATAAAATGATATTATCCAATGAAATAATTTAATATTATCAAATGCAAATTTTTCGCGTAATTTTTAGATAGTTGTAAAACTATAAATAATTTCGTAGCAATAATTTGATAAAATTTTAGTGATAAAAGTTACGAGTAATTTTTATTATTAGTAGCAAGAATGATAGCGATAATGATAACGATAATGACAATGATAATTATAATGATAGTAATAACGGATGAAATGATTGTATGGGACGAGAGTTATAATTAAATAGAAGAGATGTAAACCTTTTTTTTTTTTGATTGATTTTTAAACTTTTTAGCATGATGAATAGGATGATAATAAGGCTACTTGATATTGGCTTATTGCTAGTGGTTGATGATTTGATAAAATTGATGATAGCAATGATGATAACGATGATAATGATGATGGTGGTACTGGTGATGATGATGATGACGATGGCGTTAATGATCGTGGTAGTAATGGGCAAATTTAACGATCTATTAAATGTTCCGAAATTTTCAGCAATCTCAGGCAATGATCACTGTCGTAGTGAAATATCTCTCGACTTGCTTACCTCTAAAGTCAGCTGTTCATGTCGACTTAGGCCTAGGAGTGCAGTCTTCTGCTATATTTATTTCCCTCTTCCTCTTTATAAATGACACATTCGAATTTCGTCTTAAAATAAAAACTTTACCTATGCATGTTTCAATCAAAGATAGTAGGATGATAGGAGAAAAAAAAAAAAGAGCCAAATGATATTGATATGGGAAATTTCGGATTAATGGGAGGGAAAAAGAAATTAATTAAATTTGGGATTGAAATCTGGTGACACTTATTTATGAAATTCTCAATGAGAAATATTGCAAAATTTTTCAGCTAACAAGAAAAAAAAAAGCCAGATGATTGTGATATGGGAAGTTTGAATGGAAATATGTGTCACATATACATCGATAGCATCATGGTCATTGCTAATGTAATATTACTAAATATAGTTTAAGTTTAATTGGAGTTTGAGTTCAAGCTTGAGCTTAAACTTTACCTGACTATTGCTTGCATAGTTTCATTGGTAACATTTATTACTTCCCATGGATTTTAAAGTAGATAAAAAGCAAAAAAAAAAAAAACTAGAATAAAAATGAAGTAGCTAATACTTTGGCAGTAATTTACAATTCTTTGAGGAATTATGACAACTGCGCCTATGAAATATTTGATTGCAAACAAAAATTCCCTAAGATTTGTGACAGGAAATTGAAACGAATTGTTATGAATTAAAATTCGAAAAAAAAAAAACCAAATAAATCCTCAACATACAGGGAAATAACTTTTGGAACTATCGCTACAGACAAATAAGTCAAAATAACATTTACAGCAATAATGCAACATCGAATTCTCTTCGAATTTTAATTAAATAAATTAATTTTAATTAAATAAGTTAATTTTAATTCCATTTTAACTTATCGTAATTAATTCAACTATAATTATTGAAAAAAAAAAGAATGTGTAACGTGTTCATTATACATTTAAGTTATATTGAAAAAAAAAAGTTATAAAAAATTTTTAATAAAAATAAGGAATAAACTAAATGAAAGAAAATGAACAAAATCAAAAACATAAATTAAGATCATCATAGAGTTCATGTGATATCATATATTACATCCTATGTGCTATAATATCACCATATCCCAATATCCCATTCATTTATATAATCATGCATATCATATCGATAAATGATATCTAATTAGGAAGGATGTATTGGTAGTATGATAATGATAACCTATCATTAAGTAATAAGCAATATTGTGACAATCCTATTCATCCTATCAATCCATCCATCCATCTATCCATCCATCCATCTATCCATCGATCCATCTATTCATCCATCTATCCTATCTATCCATCTATTCATCCATCTATCCATCTATCCATCCATGTGATTCATTCACAGATGTTCCTTAAAAACGAAGAATGTGGTTTTTTTGCACAAAAAGACGTATATTTATATGTTATACATTAGTT